AGCCGACCTTGTGGAAGACGGGCTTGTGCAATAGTTGAGATTCTTACCTCCCCACTGGGACTGCAATATGGCAGAACAGCGTCAGCGCTTGGACAGGAACCCTGTATACAGGTTCTGCTGACGGGCTGTGTTGAAGGCCTTCTTCCGACAGTTGCAATCAAACACCCCCTCTCTGGCAACATAACATTTCGCAGCAGAGATCCAGTCTCTCCTCTAGCGGGTTCCAAGATGGAGCTTGCAGCCGATTATCGGGATCTCGCGGTAAAACGGGACAAACTATTTTGGCCTGAAAGATTGCACACAGGGGTCTTACGAATGTAGTTCCACTGCAGCTCTGCATTACTTAAATGAAGCCATTAATACCATGAATCAACCACGATTCGGGTGCACAAAACCACTGGGGTAACCCAGAGCCCAGGGGGCTCCTCCCCAGATGCAGGGCCAGCAGTCATGGGGGCTGCACGTCCCCAGGTGAACCGCAGTAGCTCCAGTGGTTAGCCTGCAGCACAGGACTAACACAGCGCTCAGTCAGGATCTTTAAGGCATTTTTATCAACTTCCAGAAAGGTTAGGAATCTGCAATCCTCAATCCCCCTTCTGTTCTTATACCACCACCCCCCCGCAAATAAAAATGGATTCTGCAATGGCGAATCAGCTCAGATCACCACCCCCCCCCCTGGGAAAAATACCTGGGGAACAAGTGTGGGCTCCTCCAGCACCATCCTCTTCCGGCTCACTCTGTCGGACACCAGGAGAGCTCCAGGAAACTCAGGCCCCCCCATCCAACAGCAGAGCCAGGGTGCAGTCTGCTGGCAGGAAAGACGAGCCTTGTGCACGCTGCTTGTGCACGTGCGAGAAGAACCACTGGTGCAAAACTCAGTACTGGCTCCCAGGTCTGGTCCTGGAGAAATATTGGGTCTGCTAATGTCCATTCCAGCTGAGCCCTGCATCTCCTGTGCTATGCGGACTTGGTTCTCTTGCTTGTTTAGACTTTCATTTAACTCGTGTCTTGAGAGCAGTCCTGAGTGCTATAAATATCCCATTTCAAGAATACCGACTCCAACAACTTCAACACCCAGAGCTCTGCACAGCCTTTCCTCAGCTTGCCGGCCCTCATTTCCAAATAAGCAGCTCCTGTTAGCTGATCAAGTGATGATGAGACACAGGTGGGAAGAACAGTCTCGGGCAGGCCCACAGCAGGTGTGGCGCGGTGTCAGACACACCCACTGCAGGTGTGGCACTCGGATCGTTTTTTTTTCCTCCTGCAGGTGCGCTTGGTTGCATTTCCCACAGCACACCCGAACGAGGGCAGGTCTGAGACTCGGAAACAGGTGCAAAGTTGACACCATTGAACAAATCCCCTTCGACCTATTAGGAGCCGGAAGCCAATTTACAAATATCCCCCAAACAGAAGACCGAAACCAATTAATCTGTGACAAAGAACGAGACTAGAGGACAAACCAGAAGGCCCAGTGTTCCTCCAGGACTGGGATGGATGGGGGGGGGGACCACTGCCACAGTGTAACGGGGGAACATCATGAAAAGACGAAGGCGAGCAATGAGCATGATGAAGACTGCCCCTGCAGTCAGCTCCTTTCCATGCTGTGCTGCAGGAACTCAGGCCCACAATGCCCCCAGAATGGTAGCTGGGTTGTTTCGTGAGTGAGGCCTCTGCTCGACCGGTTCAACACAGGCGAACAGGGGATTTGCTCCTGTATGTTTTTGGCGCTTTCAAATTTACCTGAAGTTGTCATTCACAAACAAGAGGGAGAGGGCCTGCCCCCCCTTGTCTGCCTGTCTGCCTGCCTGCCTGCCTGTCAGGAGAGATTCTCAAATTCCCCTCCCTTTCACTGACAGTAAAAGAAAGCACAGGTGTGTGTTTCTCTGCTTTTGAGGATCCCCTGTCATCCCTTGCTGTCTCTCTGTCCAGCTCTCCTGTCCTCTGCCTCACTGAAACGACACTCAAGCCACAGCGCACTTGTGCACATACTGTAAAACACCATTTGACCTGTGAGCACACGATCGCGGGCGCAGTTCTCACCATTGTAGTGAGCCCTGCTCTGCACACACACACACACGCACACTCCTTTGCAGTCCAGGGTTTGTGGGGTCTTCCTGTTGACGCTCCTGCTGGATGCACTTATTGTTCAACACTCCAGTCCAGCGAAACTCCCCAGGAGTCCCTTCGGCCCGAAAAATAAGATGCCGTTCGGTCTGCAGGGAAAAAAGGCGATAGTGACCTCGCGGGGGTACCCCCACACTGTCTGCTTGTGCTCAGTGGGGTAATTCATGGGGATCCTTGGGGATGATCACACACTTGAGGGGGGCCCCCTGTTCCCCCTTCTGTCCCCCTGCGGCGGGACTCTGCTTCCCCAAAACCGCTCTGCTCTAATCCGAAGCAGGCACATGAAGAATCTATCGGGGTGGGGGGGCTTTCTCTGGACCGCAGGAGGCCTGGGAAGACAGCCAACTCCTCTGGCCGCACAATGGAAACACACTTCAAGAAAAACATCCTGCAAGAGCAGAGAGGCTCGGCTCCTTCTCGCAACGCGGCCGACGCCGCCCCCCCCGCCCCATACACCAGGAAAGGTGTTCGTCCCAGCATTCCCAGCGACAGCGAGCCAGCCTCCCTGAGTGTGTTAATTCACTGCAAACGGGGAGGGTTTGGGGGGGGGTCCATTTTTATAGTTCAAGATCCCCCCCTGTGCAAGACACGCAGCTTCAATGAGGACCCCCGCTGCCGTCTAGAATTCCTACAAAGATGTACAACAACATCGCAGCCGTCATAAGCCAGGATGATGCACAGATTTCACTGAGAAATGGGTGTAGGTTCGCCATCAACACCTCATTGTCAATTAACGGCGAATTGATAATTACACTTACAAAATGAGCACTTGCTGAAAGGCAGTGGGCAGTACGGTGGCGCGGGACTCAGCATTGCTGGGATTTCTGGGTTCACTCCTGGAGCAGGGGGGCTGTCTGTGTGGAGTTTGCATGTTCTCCACATGTTTGTGTGGGTTACCTCTGGGTGAATTGGCTTCTGTAAGACTGGCCCTATGTGTGAGTGGGAGCAAGTCTATGTCTTGTGAGTGCCCTGCCATAGACTGGTGTCCCTTCCAGGGTGTAGCCTGCCTTGTGCCCGTTGCTTGCTGGGATAGACTCAAGCTCCCTCCCGCGACCCTAGATCGGAAGAAGCCTTTAGCAAGTGGATGGATGGCAGTCACACGGGCTATAACGAGCGCTCCTTTTGCAAAATATTTGTTAAAATAAAGACTTTCACTTCGTCAGGCCCCTTTGAACAAACTGAAATGGAGAACAAGAGTCACTTCTTTACAGTAAGGGCAGTGGGGGCTTCATTCGAGAACTGGCTGGATAAGATCCTTGGATCCACTACTATTAGCAGCCAAGCAGGCTGGTGTAGGCGTCCACCTGCCAGGGCCGACATGCTGTTGTCATGACCTTGCTCTCAAACTCACCCGTTCACCCACAGCCCACGCGTTTCAGGACATAGCGGAAATCGAGAGCACAGCCATGTCCAACTGGAGTCAAAGCTTTACTATGAAGAGCGCTGGCTGTTTGAATTGAGATCTGGGACTGCAGGCGAAGACAACAGGAAGAATAAATAAAAACAAAAAAAAAAACATGACATGGAGTGGAAAAGACCATTAAAGACCAATGGTAAGTTTCAAAGACCATGGGAAATCTACCGTGTTGGTGTGGCGAGACATTGTGCGTGGGGCTGTGTCTCGGCTGAGCTGCCTCTTCCTGCTCGCGCGTGCAGGGCCTCACCAGAGCAGCTCTGCTCCAGACACCAGCTGGACACTCGACTGCTGAGCCTCAACCTCCCTCCGCGTCCGAGCGGCCCTGCCCGGCACTGGCCCCTCCGCACCCCCAGGAAGGAAGGCCGTTGCTCAGATGGGAAACGGGCAAAGGTCGATGCTCCTGCCGAGGGGAAAAGACCAGAGGAACAGTGCTCTCGGCTCAGGCTTCGGTGGCACCTGAAGACGCCTCCGCAGCCGAAACGCCGTCTCTTTTCAGCAGGGAAGAAACCGCTCCCTGGTCCTTTGCAGCAGGCGCAGGCCGACGCGGCTCCCTACTTGATCGGCTTAATTAGCCCACAGAGCCCGAGAAGTTGCGCCTCTGTGACCCTCAACACTCAAGAAGACTAAGGATTCTTGCGCACTTCATGCTTTTAGCAGGGAGAGCCGCAGTGAACGGCTCCGATTCGCGCGCGTACGGACACGGGCACCAGCCACACACACTCCTAGAACAACTGCAGCCTCCTCCGAAACATCTGGGAGAGCTCTTTCAAACTCGCGGGGAGAGAGAGAGAGAGGGGGGGGGGGGAGACAGGACCGGCTCCCGGGCTCCCGTCAGTCCGCCCTCTCGCCCAAGCGCCGTGTCAACGACACACCTTCCACCCCTACAGACCGCGCGCAGAGGAACAGGGGAGCGTTTGCAAGGCCGGGGGTGGGGTGGGGGACTCCTTGCAGCCACCTCCTTCGCTTGATTGCACAGTAGCTAATTGATCCCAGAGTGCCCAGCCAGCCGGTTTGTGACACGTTCCCCGGCTCCTGCCTCTTCCTGTTTTAAAGCGCTAAGGGCCGAAGGGGGTCCCCGTTTTCATTTTGCAGAGTTGGGTACCACTCCCGGGCAGACTGGTTTTATCAGCGTCGGGCGATACGCACCCTCTAGAAACGGTCCAGGCGTGTGTGCTCGGGAATACAGGAACCCCCTAACCACCCTAGTGATCTCCCTGCACCTCTTTGGCAACCAGCCGAAGAGCCCCCAGGAGACCACACGTGAGAGCTGGGGTGGGGGTGCTGTTTGATTTAGGAGAGGGGGGAGGTTTGTAAAGCCTAACTTACTTGTGACCCCCCCGTGCCCACCGTGAGCTCAGCAAACACTCAAGAGCCAAGACCCAGCGGCTTCTGGGATGAAGCAGAATGGAAAAGCAAGGCAGGGCCAAAACTTCAGGAAAAACACACAGGAATCACTCTCTTTCCTTTCATATTTCCCCACGAGTAAAGGTTTAATGATTTTTTTTTTCTTTACGGACTTGTACACAAATGTACAAAATTACAGCATCCATTTCAGATTCGGTTTCCACATCGATCACAGTGTTACAACATTCGACAATAAAAAAATTCCAAAAAAAAAAACACGCACTCAACACACAATGGAACATCCATATCACAAAACTGGCTTTTAATCTCGCTTTGTACATTTTTTTATTTCCAAACCAAGCTGCTGGTATTTTCTCTTTTTTTTTTTAGCTTGCTGAAAAAGCAAAACACGATCAGAACTTGGTCCAAAAACACCAACTTCAGACTTTCACTCAACACCACCATTTCATTTTGTTTTTTACTCCTATGCCATAAATGTTATGACACATCAAGTAAACCTCGAAAATAGCCATCGTGCAACTTCTTTTGTTACAATGATCTTACCATCAAATGTATTGTTCCCCTTTCACTAAAACAGGAGGACCGCACTTCAGAAACAAAGTGCTTCGAGATTATTTTATAATATATATATTTATATATACACCCCAATCACAGAAATATAAATGACTTTGCAAACATTACGTTTCACAAAGCAGCACACTAAAAGAAGAGTACAACCTGGAGCTTTGTATACAATAGTATTTTGCTGTGTTTTTTTTTCTATTTAGAAAAAATAAAGTTGGTATTACACCAACATTTTTTTTAAAAAAAGACAAAACAGTTATCAGTGCAATGTTAAAATAATAATTAAAAAAAAAAGATTTCTCAAGTTTAACACAAAGCGATGCATATCGATTCAGTTTCTTTGCCCCCCGACCACGAGAGGCCCCCGGTTTTGGGGGGGGGGGGAGAGAGAGTGAAGGGAGAGTACAGACCCCCGAGACTCCACGCGGACGCAGGACAGGACAGAAACTCAGACACGCGGGTACACAGAAGCAAAAATAAAAAGTGTTGAAAACGCAGAGAACAGTTCTAGATGTCAGAGGGAAAGCGAAAACACACATTCGCACAAAACTCTTGATGTATTAGGCGGGATGTTCAAGCTCCTTCTGTTGGGACTTCGACGTTGACGAGACAAAAATAAAACATTTATTATATATAAAAGCAGCATTGCAAAAAAAAAAACCAACAACATATTACTAGGTGCCATGATTTCAAAATGCAATTCGACTGCAGGTTAGTCCATCTTCCCCTTGTAGTCATGCGCTTTGCATTGAAATGTGGGCCTAGAATCACGCAGGAATTACCCCCCCGTGTTTATCTGTTTAAACACACAAAAAAAAACAACAAACAATCGTATTAATAATGATCACGAAACTCCTGCTCAGTAGTAAATATCCGTTGGTCTCAGCTCCTCCCCAAAAACAGACACTAGGCGGCGTTAAAAACAAGGAGCCGCATTTTGTGCAACACAAACTCCCTGCCCTCCCCCCGAAAAAAAAAATCATGCAATAAATCTTATTTCTGCTACTCAAAAGCGGAAAACAAAATGCAAAAAAAAAAAATTCGTTCTTAGAAAAAAGAATCCTTGAATGCTGACGTTTACAAGGGAGAAACAAAACGTTGGACCGAGTCAAACTGAGCCGGTCCGACAGGCGGGGGTCCAGGTGGTGTTCGCGAGAGATCTGCGAACCGCAGGTTTTTGCAAAAGATCCAAGACGCTGGTGCTGGAGGGAGGGGGGGAGTTCGAGGGGAACGGACTCGGTACTTAGGCGCTTCCTAGAATAACTTTTATTCTAACGACGTGTGACCAACGGCACTCCCGAGTTCGCCCTCCTTGATCACCGCGTTGGCCTTTTTCAAGAAGACACCCAGGTACAGAAACCCACCCGGTGTCCCAGCGTGCGCGGGGCTTTCCAGTCCCCTGCTCCAGTATTCGTCCTGTGAAAGTGTCGCCGAACCGCACAAAAACGATCACTTGGAAAAATCGTCAATACTGCATAGTCGAGGTAGTTGCCGAAGGAAACCTATATATATATATGCATATATATATACACACACACACATACAGTAGAGAGGAGTGTTCTTTTGAGGAAAAAAAAAGTAGTTACAAATTAAGTTTATAGTGTGGGGTCTCCACGTTGGACTTTTATCATATTGAGTCCGGAGCAGCTTTGACATCATACATTAAAACAAAACAAAAAAAAAACATTTTTTAAACCTATATAGGTTTCAAAATGGAATAACAATCATAGCAACATTTCAAGAACAACAAAAAAAAAAATCTCAATGTACCTTCATAAATACAGGACAAAAAAAAAGACCCCCCCCTAGCCCGGAATCACATTAACGACTAGGGCGTGTGTTCAAATACTGAAAGGAGATCGATTAAGAAGAGGAGATTCCGATCGCGACCTCTTCCCGGGTCGCCGGCAGGGAGAAAGAGGATTTTAGGGAGCGAAAACGAGCCCCCTGGCCGGAAAGTTCGCCGGGACCCGTGTCGCCCCGGCAACACGGCCCGTCCAGGAGATTGTGTTGCGTCTATAAAGCTATGCCGTACAGTACTCTCCAACGCGACACGGTTTTATCTGTCAAAAAGAAAAAAAAATATATATATATAGACGCTTGGGGATGCTTTTGAACGCCACTTTGAGGAAAAAAAAATGTATATATCGCCAACAGCCACAGAGTCAGACTAGAAACCGTAACAAACCCATATAGGTTTAAAAAATTAAAACACATCGCCCTCCGACTTTAAGTAAAACGGTGGTGGTGGTGGTGGTGTCACGTCCCCGTCTTTGACCGGATCTCCTCGTCTCTCCCACCCTCCCAAGAGAGAGGAAAGTAATGCCCCCCCCCGACACTACACAATCATTTAAATAAGGTCAGAGAGTGAGCGACCACACTTGCAGAGGCCAGACCGACAAGACCAGCGTTTCCACTGCGGAAGCCCCCCCACGGGGCTAGAGACAGCGGAAAGAGAGAGACCCCCCCCACACACACACACAAAAACAAAACAACAACAACCACCAAAAAAAAAAAAAAAGACAGCGAGGTGGAAAACGTCGTTTTGCACCTTTAAGAAAAAAAAAACCCACACAGAACCACCCCAAAACAAAACGAGAACACCAACTTCTGACGAGCCAAGACAACAACCTACCGAGGGTCTCGGTCTGGAAATATCAAAAATGGTTTCGGTACCGACTCGACGCGAGGTGCGTGCCATTTTTTTTGTTTTGTTTTTGTCGTTCCCGAGCCAAAATCCCCAGGGAAGAAAGAGGAGGAGGAGGAGGAGGAGAAGGGTGTCTCTGTCCAGCGCACCGAAGACAGGAGGGTGGGCGCGCACAAGAGACACAATCCTTCCGCTGTCTCCGTCTCTCTC